CCGGGAGACATGGAGTGGCTGGGGACAGCAGAGTCCCCCCCCTCCACCTCTCCCTTTGGCCCCCCACATTGGTGTTTGGCCTCACCTCTGCACGCAGCTCGGCCAGCTTTTTGTCCATGCTGGAGCGAGCACCCAGCTCATCCTCCAGGTCCTCGGAGATGCGTCCCAGCTCGTCCTGGTGGATCTCCTTCAGGATGTTGAGCTGTGGGAGGACACACAGCACCCAAGGTGGGCAGCAAGGACCCACCTTGCACCACACAGGCCCTGTCCGCACCCATCCACTGGAGCAACTGTCTCTAATTAAGACCCTTAATGAGCACCCTGGAGTTGGGGAGGTGGCTGTGGGTCACTGTGTCCAACCATCAGGACGTGCCACCTGCCGGGGCACAGGCCACCCCCCAGGGCACCCCTGATCCCCAGGCACCTTGCTCACCTGCTTCATCACCTCCTGCTTGTTCTTGTTGAGCTCCTCATACTTGATCTTCCACTGGCTGAGCTCACCCTCCAGCTTCTCAATGCTCTTGCTGAGTGCCAGCTTGTCCCTGGGGAGAGGCAACACTGGCAGGACCCCATGGGACATCCCATCCCCGTGGGGACCGGGCTGGGCATGGCTGGTACTCTGTGAGGATGACGCCCCGAGCACTCACTCCCGCTCCTTGAGCAGCACTTTTTGGCACTCATCCAGCCTCAGCTTCAGGGCGGTAACTTTGGTGGCATCTTCTTCCACGACGCTGACGTCCTCCCAGAGCAGGCGGCTCCGTTCCTGGCGGGTGAAGGAGGCCCGGGGGCCCCGCTGCTCCCAGCTCTCGTCCTGCTTGCTCGTCAAGATATTTTCCATCAGTTCCAGCTCCTGTGGCACCATGGGTGGCCCAGCACAGGGGACAGGGTGAGAGGCCAGCCCTGGCTTCCCACCCCCTACAGCACCCAACCATCACCCCATAACCAAGAGCATCCCTCCAGCCAAACTCAGCAGCATCCTTCCCTCCGATCCCCAGGGACCCCGTGCGTCTGATGGAGAAGGACCTGCCCTCCCTGGGGAGCTCCCATACACCATCACACTCTGCTGCCAGCTCCCTGCCTCCCTGGAAATTTGGGATAATATCGACCTACTACACCGACCTTGCCGTGACTGCCATGTGGGTAATCTTCTACCAGTCTCCATGAGTGCTCGGTAAATGAGCTGCAGGGGCTTTCTGGGGAAGGGACGTCCCTGGGGACTGAGCCAGGAGGCCACAGGGGATGCTCAGATTGATTTGCCGCTTGCTCAGCAGCTGTGCTGTCAGGGGGACTGAACTGGCACGGCATGGCACCCCATGCGGTGACTTCTGCGTCGTGACAGAGCTGATGGCAGCAGAGAGGGGATGGCTGGAGCAACTGGGAACATCCCTGTGGTGGCTCTGGTGTCCCCTCCTTCCTGCTCCTCCTCCTCCCTTCAGCACAGACCTTTGCCAGAAGCCTGTATGGACACTCTGGCATTCAAGCCATTGCTGGGAGATGCCACCAGCACTGCCAAAGCCACCGTCCCCTGTGCCAGCACACCGACTTTTGCTTAACACCTCCAAAGTGAAAGCCCCGAGAAAAGGACCAGAGCCAATGCCAAGGTGATCTCACCGCACGGGTCTATGGGGGTCCTGGACACCCCCATGACACTCCTCCAAGAGGGGCCTGTGTCCCCCCACGTGCTGCTCCAAGAGGGGTCTGAGCCCAAAATCCCACTCCAAGAGGGGTCTGACACCATGACACTGCTCTGAGAGGGGTCTGACGCCCCCCACGCTGCTCCACCTGCCCTCTCCAAGGAGGCTGACCTGCCCTGCTAATCCAAGAGGGGGACTGCCCCTCCACGCTGCCCACCTTTGTGGGGCAGGAGGTGACCCCTGTGGGCACCTGCAGGCAGTGGTGGTTTGGGGGCATGTGTGGGCAGCTGGCAGGGCTGAGGAGCCCCCTTGGCACCCTGCCAGACCCTCCTGCCCCTCACCTTGGCTTTTTGGGGCGCTTCGGCCCCCACATCCCGCACAGGCTCATGCTCAGGGTCAGTCTCTCCCTCCGCCCCATCAGCATCGGGTGGGCTG